ATAACCTGGCTTCATAAAAAAATAGTCAATGCGAGCATCATCTTCGGGCAATATCAACTCATGTTGCCTCTTCTGTATCGTCATTTAACTCACCGATATGACAAACAATAACTAATGTGTTGCACGAGTGGATATCTGAGTTTTACATGCTTGTCAATCAGGTTTTGTCTGATTTGAGATCTTGCGTAAGCGTAACACAGTTGTAAAGCTTTTACTGTTCATGATCATTTGTTATGAACACGTCACAAGACATATCATTGTATGAATTGAACAGTTTGAATAGATCGATGTGAATACATTTCACTGATTGTTTGTTTTGCTCGTCCACAAGGATGTGTTCTCTTGTAAATTCGAATTGGTGGAAGGATTTCTCAGACCGTTGCATACGTACATGCAACGCTCATTGATCCCATTGATGTGGCTCCAGACCCAGTACCTGGGTAATTTGAGTAACGATGAACGTCACGGATTTCTTGATTACGTCGAATGTTACTTGAAAAGTTTATCCAGTAAGTTGAATTTGTGATATCCCAATGAGACGAACTGGTTAAATTCTACGCAGTGAAATTCCGTTTTATGTAAAGTGTTGCACTATCTTGCACCATCTACAGGTACGAACCAAATAGATAAGTGCGTATTATTTGACAAATGCAGAAGGTGACATCGGCCTCGATTCGAAATTTTTCACTGATGACGAATGGTATTTAGGTGAATAGGGGATGTGCAAAGGAAATCGTTTTTGAAACTATAGCAGGAAAGCGATAACGTTAACAGCAATAGTAATAAAACTGCTCACAAATATTTTTATTTCTATTAGAGCTTTTCTGCTCTCCCACATAGTATAGCACAGAGAATTTTCAACAATGGGACTACAGTCGTTCAAAGGGGATCGAGTAAACGCACAAATGGGAGGATTTGGCAAGTGTGCTTGGGTTTAAATACGCAAAATTCAATCAAACCATTGGGTTTGATTGATGTCACTCGAATCGATCGAATTTCCTGCGACAAACCATTCCACTGTGACAAATTAAAATGCAGCGATGAAGCAAATCTGTCGGGGGAATGAGGCCAATTGAAAATGAGGATTCCAGAGTGCGTTGATTGTCTGATTACTTGGTTGATAAACGATACAACTAGATCAGCTGATTGCATAACAATCCTCACTAAATCGGGCACATAGATTTTGAGTCAGTTTGCACCCTATAGATTAGCACCAAGTGACCGAGGTTGCGT